GGGGGCATGGGCAGCAGGCACTGTGTGGATCGGTAATTGTCTTGGCGGGGATTATTCACTAAGTTGGGTAAACTGAACTCAAGTGTGAGGTGAAATTGAGAGAAGAATGTAGCTTTTTGAAAAAGAAAAAAAAAACTGAACTGAATTTGTTGTGACAGGCATGACGGAAGCGTGCTCATCAATGACATTTCGCATTGTAAGGGAGAGTCCATTGGCTAGGCCATCGCCGGGTAAATCCGAAACTCCGAAAGGCACATCAACACAGGGCGCAACATGTGTGGCAGGAGCTCTTTCTTCACTGAGCATGGCTTCTTCAGGGCTTTCAGGCGTGAACGTCGGTTTGCCTGCCCCGTGCGTGGAGTTGATGATTGAAGGTACACTCACTCATGCCAGATCCCTGAGATTAAAAAAAGGGAAAAAGAAAAAGAGAAGAACCACTGTGAACTTTGCTAAAGTTGTTTCTCCTTTTTTTTTCCTCAGCTTTTCTTGCATGTACTTGCATGCTCAGCTCCACTCTATTCTATGGAGCATCAGTCTGTGGCTGTTCCTTTTCCACTGGCAAGCCAATAAGTTAAAACTTAAAATGATGATAAGACACTGATACTTTGGCGAAGCATTGACTACTCTTTGGAAATATCAGTGGAAGGAATATCCGTGTCTTAACACTGATACTTCCCTTGGCCGTCCATTTCAGTCAAGGGAACCGCGAAGCATTGACTTCTCTCTCGAAGCTGGACGATGGAACGAACGGCTTCGCCCATCCATCTTCCTCTTTTTGGGGGGACTATTTCTCGATCTATGCATGTCATCCTTGCGTGCGCAGGGGCCATGCTAATCGGTCTTCTCTGTATCGTTCCAATTTCCCAATTTTAACAGATGCCCCGAGAAGGAGTTCTCTTTTTTGAGTCCCTCAGTTTCATCATTCTTTTCTACTAAATTTCTAGTAATTAAACCACCACTACGTCCAAGCCTCTTTTTGCCGATGCGGGAAAGAACTGCGCAGCAAGCTTTGCCAAAGTGCCAGCGTGACTTTTTTTTTTGTTTTTGTTGTGGCGGGCGCCGCCATCCATTTTGGTCCTGTGGTACCTGGCCTCTACTTGTTTTAGTTTATATACATTACAGAAGTGCACAGCAAGCGCACAGCAATCACAGTGTGTTTTTGTGTGTTTTATTTATTATTCATGTAATTTTCATCAAGTTAAT